TTTTTTCAACACAACACGCCAATTGGACTTCATTTCGTAGATTGTCTCAGGATCAGGAATAACGTTTCTTCCTCTGTGGACAAGTAAGAGAGCCAATCCACTAAGTACACATAAGTAAACAGTACACCTTTGTAAACAGATTGTTGAATGATTGTCTAGTGGCCATGAGTGCATTTTCTCACAGAATTGATACCAACTTTGCAATTTTTTTTTTACCTTTGCGATTATTATTTTTTTGCCCCCCCCCCGCCGAGGCTACGGTCCCCCTGCCGTAAATGTAAACCGATAATGCTTATTTTCAAAAGCAATCCGCTGCTTTATCAAATAAAGACACTCAGTAAGTTAAAAGTAAAACAAAAAAATACTTTTTGGCAGTTATGGTGCCAGCGTCATGTTTGTGGCAACAACAGCGACGACACGGACAGAGAGACCGATCAGAATATAATAATAATAATAATAATAATAATAATAATAATAATAATAATAATAATATTTATTTATTATATAGCGCATTCCATTTTTTACATTTCAATGCACTTTACAAATAATTAAAAGTCAAAAAATAACAATACTAAAATACTTTTTAAAGCAAAAAAAAAACATTTACTTGTTAAAACTTTTACTAAAAAAAGCTAATAAAATTAGTTAAAGAAAGCAGAGAAAATTTATTGATATAACTTAATTGATAAAATACTACTAAAATTAACCCAAGCTCACTCTTAATAAATGATAAACAACTAAAAGGTTTAATTTATTCACGGTTTAATTTTCGTGAATAAAAAAAAAAAACTAAAAGGTTTAAAGGAACACTAACCATAAAATTGTTTAAAAAGATGAGTTTTAAGACAGGCTTTTAAAGTATTATAGTCACTTTCAGCTCTGATACTAAAAGGCAATTAGTTCCACAATTTTGGAGCATAAACAGTAAAAGCCCGGTCTCCATAGAATTTGTTGCATTTTCTGTCTATTTCACAGTGATTGAGTATAAAATTGTTTTCGAAAGAGTTTCTTGTTAACCTGCGTGGTTCAGATGACTGAATAAGATGTGCAATAAAACCAGGTGTGTTTTCTTTAAACGCTCTAAACATTATGCACAACACTTTGAATAAAATTCAGGCCTAACCAACTACCAGACTCGACACCTAAGGATCCTGAATTAACCGATATATCGGACCACACTTCCCATTTTCAAGGTGTGTGTCAGATCGCATTTTGGAGTATCATACTCCAGAACAAATTTTGTAGCACGACTGCGGGCTCATCCACGCTCGGCTGAACAACCTTAAACTGTACTCTTACTTTAGAGTACTCTATTTCATTGTCTCTATGGGGGTATATGGGGACTTTACGACATTCAGTTTGAATGTTTTAACCACTTTTGATAGGGCTTTTTTGCATTGTATTAGATTAATGTGGCAGTCTAAGGTTCATCTAGGTGGTTTTCAAATTTATGCACCCGGTTTTAAAATCATATAGCGATTAAATACGACAATCGTTTACTATCCAATCAAGGTGACAGCCGAGCGTGGGCTCATCCTGTCGGTGTTCTGACTGATACTCCGAAATGCGAGCTGACACACACCTTGAAAACGGGTAGTGTGGTCCGATATACCGGTTAATTCAGGATCCTTAGGTGCCGAGTCTGGTAGTTGGTTAGGCCTGAAATTCTTTGTTTGATTGGCAGCCAATGCAATTCCTTTAACACTGGAGTTATATGATCCAAGCTCTGGTTCCTTATCTTTTTAACTAATCTGGCCGCTGAATTTTGAATCAATTGGATTTTTTTCAATTTGCTGTCACTCACCCTAAAAAGAATACTGTTGCAATAATCTAGTTTTGATGTAATAAAAGCATGAACTAATTTTGTAGTTGTTTCTATATTTAGTAAATTCCGAATCTTCCCTATTCTCCACAGTGAAAAAGATGCCGACTTACAAACATTGTCTATATGCTTGTCAAAGATCCCAGCTGAATCAAAAAACACACCTAAATTTCTCGCACTGACAGATGCTTTCACAGACACATTGCCAATGCGAACATTAGTGTTAGTAGCACAGTCCTTTCTATCTTTAAATTTAGATGAAAATTAGTGTCTGTATATAATGTTTTTTCTTTCCTGTTTAAATCTATGTATACACTTTTTATACACACAGTTTTTAATTCTTTTTCTAATTTCAAATATGTTCGAAGGTTTAGGGAATTTCAAATTTTCTTTTTTTTTTTTAATAAATTAGGAATTTTTCAGAGAAGAAGTGCTAAATGTTTTCTGTATCAACAACTGATTTGTTAAAAAAAGAAAAGAATTTTCATACCACACAATCTTAGAATCTAACTTTCGAACACCTTTTCCCCAATTTATAATCTTCAAGATTTTTTTCACAGGCATTTAATTCATTTTGGATCAGTAACAAACTGTTCCAAATCTGAGTATGTTCAGCCATTTGACAACTTTCAATGGTATCCGACCTGAGTCGTCATATAGAACATTTCCTTGGTTTTCATTTTCCAATAAACCCAAACGTCTCGACCCATGCTCTAAAATTAATTAGAGTCACACGGCTGTTCAACAATTTGTGGCATGTGTAGAATCCCATTTGATCAATTTTTTTTCATTTTGCCATAATTAAACCCAGTGCTATAGAAGCAGATTCAGATAGAAATTTTACAGTATATTGAAAAAAATATTCTACATAAGACACCAGTTATTTATACTTATCAACCCACTCTATATGGTGACCACCAAAACATACAAAACCTGCAGTACGTTTTTTTTTTGTTTGGGCCTGTAATGTTCACATATTGTTTTCTTGTAATTAATAAGCATTGTCCATTTGTTACAACACTGGTCCACTCTTCTTTAGACGAACACAAGAAGGACTAATGCTACCAAACCGAAAGAGAGTATCTGGTAAACAGATTACATCAAGCAGAATGGAAAGCTTTAATTTCATTTTTTTCTGCTGGGTTTTTCCTATTTCTTTAAAGACTGTTACTAAAATGCAAAAAGGCACGCTAGCAACCTACAATGGTCACTAACTCCAATGAAAAACGTAAGCAATTCACCGCGATCAATTTTTAAATTAACCAAATGAAGAGCAAAAAAATGCCCTACTATAAAACTGTACCTTCCTACTTGTAGAAAATCACATCCACAAAGGTTACCCTCCGCCATGACATGTAGAGACAAACACGACTGCTGTGTCCAAATTCTAAATTTCAAGTGTCAACCTGGCACTAAGCCTTTATTTACACACATATGAGATAGGTGATAAAGTGTAGATGATATTCGGCTGCATTCACATTGTTCGACTGCGTTCACACGTTAAAGACAAATACACATTACATCATGCTGGCGTGATCACTTTTCTTTTCCTTTTAACTTTACGAGGTGACNCATCCACAAAGGTTACCCTCCGCCATGACGTGTAAACACTAACACGACTGCTGTGTTCAAATCCCAAACTTCAAGTGTCAACCTGGCACTCGGCCTTTATTTACACACATATGAGATAGGTGATAAAGTGTAGGTGCTATTCGGCTGCATTCACATTGTTCGGCTTCATTCACACGTTAAAGACAAATACACATTACATCATGCTGGCGTGATCACTTTTCTTTGCTATTAACTTCTCGAGGTGGCGTGTAAGACTATTTAACTGATTACATTCACAGAGATGAATCCATCCTCCTGGTATGATAACTTGAATCTGAATACTCCCTAAATACTGTGTAAGGCCTGATTCCCAGAGATTAGATCGATCCAAACTAGATCGACCTAACTCCCTGGGAGTTCACGCTAAATAGCTGTCAGCCGAGCGGGCACGAAAGTTAATTACCCCCTTACAGCTTTTAGTATACGGGACGGACATTTAAGCCGGATTATCTGACAGTAATCTAGTGAGACTCCCCACGTTGATAGATCGATCTAAATGCCTGGGAATACGCCCTAAGTCTGGGTTCACGTGCCTAGATCGATCCAACAGGATCAGTCTAACTCCACGGGGAATCACGCTAAATTGCTATCAATTTAAGTGGCTTAAATATCTGTCACGCCTTTCGAATCAACTAGGTGGTGATTAACTCTCGACCTCCGGTAGTTAATTACCCCCTTACATCTTTAGTAGGTGTGACAGGCATTTAAGTCGCTTTAGTTGATAGAAATTTAGTGAGAATCTCCTGAAGATAGATCGATCCAAAGTTAGTACGATATCTGTGGGAATGGTCCCTTAGAGACCCCTGACAGCAAAGAATAGTCTTAAAAGGTGCTGTAACTCTGAAAATATCGTCGACGTTGGAAAATTATATATTTGGCAATAGCATTGCGAATAATTTCTTTATTTTTTGTGGTGTAGAGTCAATATTAATATCCCTGTTCTAATTTCCTATTTAAAAAAATCATTCAGTGTAAGCGCCTTAAATGTTGACACGCCTAATTAAACTGATAGTTACCCAACGGGACTTGCCACTATATAGACAATTGAGCTGATTATACCGAAAGTATTTTAGCGAGAACTCACGCAAAGTTAGATCGATCCAGTTAGTACGATGTGAATATATATTTTAGATGGGGAGAAATTCACTTATCTCGGCAGTCTAGAAAGCTGTTAAAATGGCAAAAAAAGTTCACAGGCAGGTAATCAGAGCATACTGGTCAATTACTTAGCTGAGAGTTATACCTGTTGTCAGTTTTGCGATCATATGGGACCCCTGCTCATCGTCTACTATCTTTGAGGACTTAGAGATGTCAAAAATCGTTTTTTGGTAACATTTTCCGATGGCGCGATAGGATTGTCAGCGTTCTGCCGTTTTGTTCGGCAATTCTGCCCAGAGACCTCGCCAAATAATACAAACTAGGGGACCAATCAGGAGCGGATTCAGAGATATTTTCTGACAGTCTTCCAAATTATCTTTGTTACTCCGTTCTTCATTTTTGACCGTCTTCCGACAGAAAAAATTAGATACCCGTCAATGTAAACTTGAAAATCTGACCGTCTTCCGGAAGTCCTAGAAGACGCCCTGAATCCGCTCCTGCCAATGATATGTAGCAGGAAACACAAACATAGGTGATTACATGTTACTGCAACAAATAGACGCGATCGTTTTTCGGTGAATTCTGGATCATTTGGTGCCGCGTCTGGTAGTTGGGTAGGCCTGACAAAGTAATCGGATGGCATTGTTTGTAGCTGTGTTGAGAAAGGCCCGTCACTCGTGTTAATACGAGTTTTTGAAAGTTAACGATGAAGGCTTGATTTCAATGATTTGACACTTGTCATGTAAACTGAATAAACCAACGATTATTTTAGGACACTCACCTTGCAAAATGTCATCTAAGATTATATCTGGTAGTAAGAAGGTGCTCAGCTGCACAACAAACAATGAGTCTACTGCAAGAAAAAAATGCATTTATTCATTTCTTTGTGTGTATGTAGAAGTTATGTCTATTTTTATTAAGTCGGCATTTTCTTGTAGATTAACTGCGTCTAAAACTAAATTATTTCTGTATGTATGTGACAGGATACACAGCCACCCTCTCAAGATAAATGCCAAAACATCTATGATGCTCAAGGTGTTCTGGTATATTTAGCTCGGGTGACATTGTCTTATCTCTCTCTTAAACATACAGTGACTGTCACACTACCAGCCTGCGTCCACAAGAGTAGACAGATTTAATCTCTTCAAACAGTAATATCCAGGCCCGTAGCCAGCAATTTCATAAGGGGAGTTTTTTTTTCTGAACAATGGACCTTTTTCCATAAAAACTTCCATGTACGTAGATCAAATTTTACCCAGAGTGGACCTTTTCCCAGCAAAAGGGGTGGTTCTTTCGAACCCCCCGAACCCCCCTGGCTACGGGCCTGATATATCTCAGCACCCAGCTCTGATGTCAATAAATTCCCATGCCCTGATCAGTTTATCTTGGTTATAGAGGTTAACGTTCTTGATATGGCCGTCTGCAGGTCAACAGAGAATGATATTATAGCCTGCCTATCTTTACGTACAGGTGACAGGGTCAGTTAAATACAATTAAATTTAGTGTCCATTGAATATACTCTGTAGAGAAGTTGTCTTGAGAAGACTGTATTTGTAACGACCTTGTTGAACTTGACTTACACAATGACGAATTATTCAAGACAAATTTCCCGATTTTCTGTACAAGTTTCCTATCTGTAACACTGCAGTCCCTTTGCAGCATTAACGATTGATGGAAATGATGTAAATGTTGTTATATTTGCAACCTAGTTTGCGTAGCTCAGAGTTATAAACGTATGTAGACAGGCACATGACTCTAAAATACATTGGCGTTTTAGAAAGGCGTGCAAGTTAAGAGTTGTTTTATTATTTTTCACAAAGTCGGTGCAATCCAGGCCATCAAGAGCACTATTCATACAAATGGTGAACGTTGAACTTGTGCCCCCT